TTGTGGATACCAGTATGCTTCTTGTAGCAGAAAAACCAAAGGTAAGAGAACTGAGGAGTTTGCATGTTCAAACTGCAAGTCTAAGCACCCTTTATAATCTTTCTAGTGAAAATGAACAAGATACATCTAAAGAGTTTGAAGATTATGCAGAAGAAACTAATACCTCAAACCCAGAAGAGGATATGATTGACAGGGAAGCATTTGTTAACTCCTCATATTGCGTAACTAGTAATGTGAATACTGGAATGCCTAACACCCCAGATCCTGCTTTGGTAGCAGTGGAAAATCATGAAAGTCAAATTACAAGTCTGCTTAATCATGAAAGCCAAAGTACAAGTCTGCTTAATGATAAGTGTCCAAGCAAGATAGTGAAGGATAAATTCAGCCGGAAACTGACGTCGGGCCGCTTAAAATATTTGGCCCCTATAATGAGACAGAAGGATTTGACTGATTGTAAGCATGGAGAGTCAAGCTGCAGCAGTGGTGAAACTATCTCTGTGGATAGGAAGCCAATTCAAGATGAGTCTCATCCCCAATCAAACTTGCCAAATGCATGTGAGGTTATGGAATATCAAGTGGATCCACAACATTTTTCAACAGCTAGTTCTCTGGGAAAGGGCAGTCCAAGTGGAAGCAATGAAGGCAGTGTCACTATGAATTGCCTCGATAGAGAAGGGTCTCCTGAAAAATCTCAACCGTGGACATTGATTGACTTGAACTTTCCTCCTGTTTCACCAGATTTAGGAACTGATGAACCGTTGATCAAGTGCATGATGCAAAATAATGACAATTCAAGTGAAAACAAGTCATCATCTCTATCTGAAACAAGCGAGCAGCCTGAGCCACTGAAGCTTCCTGAAGTTGGGGAGAGTATGGAGCAGCAACAACCTACTATTAAGAGCCAGAGGCAGAGTACAAGGAACCGACCATTGACCACAAGAGCATGGGAAGCTCTTGAACTTGATTTCTGTAGGACAAAGAGGAAGAGAAAGGGTGAGACTCTACAAAATAAGTCAATATCAAGGTTGCAAATAGATCGGGGAAACACTAGTGTTAGTTCAGTTTATGATGAACACCAGGATAGGGGAGAAAAACGGGTTAAGAGTTTGTAGCAAAGTGACAATGCAAACGCGGTTGGTGTGCCTCAGGTTTGATGCAAGAAGAAATGCACTGATCATATTAAAGAACGTCCAATTAGTTGCAGGCCATATGTCCAATGTGGAGAATCAAATGCACTTCTTTTCACTTGGCAGGAGCAAATTGGTATGTTGACCTGCAGAAATTGGCTTGACTGGAACTCAAGAGTGTGTTTGAATGGTCTGGTTTAGCTCAAGTTTCTGAAGCTTTAGTAGCTTCATGGTATATACTGATATACAGTACAGGTGACTGAGATGAGGCAAGCAAGGCCATATTTTGTTGCATGCTTCCTTCTCTCTGCCTTCATCTTTTTAATTTTTAATCTATATTGGCCTATACTTCTCTCACTGATTCTTGAGGGCTTACCTGAAATAATGACATAAACTCCATGAACAAAGTAATTGTTATTCTGTCTTCATCTGCATATAAACTCATCATCCAGCTTTCTACCTCTGTAGAAACTTGAACATGAAATGATGTTGACCAAATTATGATGATATGTCATTCTATTGTATGTCAGTCTGAATCCTACATCACAGAGAATGAGAATCTCTTGTTTT